AGCACAGCCCTTGAAGCAACGATTTCAAACAGAGCAGTGGTTCCCAGACTTGGCCACCACCACTCCATGGACCACTTGAAAATCTCTGAGGGTGTTGGCAGAGCCCTGAATGCTTTTTTCAGCCTGTTATAGCAATCACAGTGCCCTGTGCTGGATGCTGTAAGGTTTTTAATTGTGTTTCGATTGCTTCTTTGGTTTCTTATGTTGCTGAAAAATTCAGAAAGTGCTTCTTTGCACAGCAGATGCTTAAATCTGTGGAACTCATTCCCACAGGAGCCAGTGATGGCCACCAGTTTGGCTTTAAAAGAGGACTGGGCAAACTCATGGAGGAGAAGACTACTAGGCTACTAGTGATGATGGCTATGTTCTGTCTCCATGTTTTTGAGGCAGTAATGCTTTTGAATATCAGTTGCTTGGAACTACAGGAAGTGGGAGTGTTGCTCTTGTGCTTGGGCAGTGCTTACAAGTTCCCCACAAGAATCTGATTGGTCAGTTTGGGAGCAGGATGCTAGATTTGATGGACCATTGGTCTGGTCCAGCGAGCTCTTCTGATGTTCTCATGCCTTCATACAGTTTGCATAGCATTACCTCCTAGATCCAGTACACAAAAGGGAGACCTCTTCTACATAGGGCCATAGAAAGCTGGCTTTTGGGACATGGTATATAATGAAATTAAGAAAAAAAATTCCCAAGAGGTCAGATCCCTTCCTGCTGGGGATAGTAGACAGCGAAATCCCAAAGAAAGCCTCAACAGTATTTATGTATGTGACTACAGCAGCAAGGAGTGGGATGCGGGTGGCGCTGTGGTCTAAACCACTGAGCCTCTTGGGCTTGCCAATCAGAAGGTCAGCAGTTCGAATCCCTGCAACGAGGTGAGCTCCTGTTGTTCAGTCCCAGCTCCTGCCAACCTAGCAGTTCAAAAGCATGTCAAAGTGCAAGTAGATGAATAGGTACTGCTCCAGCGGGAAGGTAAACGGTGTTTCCGTGCGCTGCTCTGGTTCGCCAGAAGCGGCTTAGTCATGCTGGCCACATGACCCAGAAGCTGTCTGCTGACAAACGCCAGCTCCCTCGGCCTATAGAGCGAGATGAGCACGCAACCCCAGAGTTGTCCGCGACTGGACCTAATGGTCAGGCGTACCTTTACCTTTACCTTTACCTTTTACAGCAGCAAGGATTCTCTACGCTCAGAAATGGAGGGAAAAGAGAACACCCTCAAAGGAAGAACGGTTGATGAAGATCTTGAAATATGCAGAGATGGCCAAATTGAAGGCCCTGATAAAAAGATATGAATTTTTAGAGTCTTTTAAAGGAGACTGGAAACCCTTTCTGGTCTATATAAAAAGTTATTTCCCATATGTGAAGACCACTGCGGGGTTTGAAGTGTAAGAAAACAGCAGAACATATTAAGAAACATGTCAGAGAGGATGAAATTAGATAAGACGGAACCTTAGAATGCAATTGTATGTAATTTGAGTTATAAACATCGATGTTGGGTGAGCGGGGAGTTGCTAGTAGAAGAAGAAGAAAGCTGACACAACATCAGTCTAGCTCAGCATTGTTGGCACTGACTTTTAGTCAGGAGTCCTACGCTGGCCTATCAGGAGGTGCCAGGGATGAACATGGGAACTTTGGCATGTAAAGCACTTGCTCTGCCACTGAGCTGTGATCCTTCAGTGACAAATACATCAGTTTCAGGTCCTGTTCTGAGGGGACAATCCCAAGTGTTTTTGTGTGTGGGACACAACAGGCAAACTACTTCTTTAGTGATCACTCGTAGCTGAGTAAGATTGTCTTCCATAAACACGATTTTAACAATGAGTCCGTAAGTGACTGTGGAGGCCTATTCTGGATCCACACGTCCTTCCACAGTGGAGACATTGGTTTCCTGGCAGAAGTTGGTCATGGTGTGGATTTGCCAAGCGTGCCTTCCTCTTACCACGTTTCTGCCTTGCATCCTGAGTTTGAGTGTCTTCAAAGTCCATGACAACTTTGGTAAAGATTGTTCTCCAACTGGAGTGCTCGCAGGCAGGTGTTTCCCCATTGTTGGTGTTTACACTACATTTTTAAAATTTTGCCTTGAGACGGTCTTTGAACCTCTTTTGTTGACCACCAGCACTACACTTTCCATTTTTAAGTTCGGAATAGAGTAGTTGCTTTGGAAGACGACCATCAGGTATCCGCACAACATGACCAGTCCAACAAAGTTGATGTTGAAGAATCATTGCTTTGACACTGGTGATCTTTGCTTCTTCCAGTACACTGGCATTAGATCTCCTCCTCTTCCCAAGTGATGTGTAAATGTTTTCGGAGACATTGTTGATGAAATCTTTCAAGGAGTCGGAGATGGCGTTGATAAGTGGCCCATGTTTCACAAGCATACAGTAAGGTTGGTAGTACAATAGCTTTGTAAACAAGCAGTTTGGTTTCCCTGCGGCCAGCAGAGACAGACAGGGGTGCCCACCCATTCCAACTTCCCACCAACCATCTTGGCGCAGAGGAGGTTTGGTTTGCACTGTAAAATTATACGATTCTGTGATATCGATGATCAATCTACCAGGGAAACTGAACCCCAGAAGTATATTGCAGCAGGAAGCTGAACAAGATTTGCACTGTACATTTTCCACGCTTCCTGGTACACTAGATGGCGCTACAGTATGGTTTTTATATGCTGCGGATGTCAAGGGGGATGGGAGGAGAGAGAGATGTCACAATTTCCCCTTCAGCTTCAGAAAACTTGAGTGACTTTTTATCAGGTATATTTTTTGGAACCCTCCTTTGAGACGTTATTTATTTATTTCCACTTTTTAAATTTTCAGATCATCAGCACAGGGTAATTAATTGCACCCACTTTGATATTCTTAAAAAAAAAAAATCAAATGAGAGGAAAAAATAATAATCCTAGAAAGGAATTCAGATAAATAAATAAATAAGGCGAGAGAGAGAGAAAGAACTAATTTACCTCTGGCTAGATGCAAAATTATTCTCAACGTGCCAGGATTAAGGCGCCCGATAGACGCGAAACGTTCTGTACCAATTACACGGCTCCTCTGTAAACTTTGCTTATCGAAAACATTAAAGTCACTCCGAATGAATAAGGTCTTCAGATTCCCTCAATAGAAATATCCTTCTTATATGGAGATCAAACAAATGGCTCTGAACTGTGGCCTTGAGCGGGGATCCAAAACGTTTGTGCGTGTGGACGTGTGGGAAAGAATAAAGTGCATGGCGATGAAAGTGGAAGGACTCAAAGTGAGCTCCCTGCTCCCTCCCCACCAACAAAATCTGCTGGTCTGGGCAGGGCCGGCCCACCCGTGAGGCAAGGTGAAGCAACCGCCTCAGGCGGCAGAATCCACAGGGGCAGCTGATTCAGCCTACAAGGAATGCATCACCCGTTCCTGCTGCCACAGTGGCAATGACAGCTGAAGAACACATCCTTGGAGGCTGGACCTGCCAGATCCCTGGCAGCTCCCCACCCAATCTGCCTCCACAGCACCCTCTTGGAGAATGGGAGGTGCTGCTGGTCTCCTTCCTCCCTCGTTTCAGATCTTTTCTTTCCTCTTAGTTCCTAATGTAGATCTTCACTCAGCCCTCCTTCCCTGGTGAGGAGGTTGGGGCACCATTTTGCCATTCACCTTGGGTGCCAAAATGTATTGGGCCAGCCATGGCTCTGGGTTGCTCACCTGAAGGCCTGCTTAAAAACAAAAAAACCTTCCTTAACATTCTGTGTCAGCTTTCAAACATTGTTATTTACTTTGCTAAGCAGCTGCCACAAACACTGCAATGGATGGCTGCACTAAGGTGCCCTTGTGTGCTGGGCCCGGGGGTAACCCGTGAAATGCAGTCCAGGACCAGTCCAGAATCCGAAGGTTCTGCTAGGCGTCAGTCTGACAGGGCTAAGGAAGGCACGAGGCAGGAAACCAGGCAAGGACAGGTATAGGATCTCAGGCAGGATCTGGCATACAGCAATGTTGCTCCTGCAACCTGTGGCGGGGTCTGACAGCCTTTTATCTTTGTCGGGGTAGTGGCCGGTCCTGATCCCCCAGCAACTCACCTCCCTGTTTCGCCCGAAGGCGAGCACTCCTCCTGCGAGTACTCAGGTCTCTCCTTCTCCCATACCTTAGTCTCTGCAGCTCGGGAGACGTCAGTGGGTTACTAGACCCAGGGGCCACCTCAGCCTCTCCTGACCCAACCAGTAGTGAAGCAGCTGTAAGTGATGGCCCAGCTGAAGGCAACGAGGTAATCCCCGCATCTGGAGCCAGGGCAGGCTCAGACCCCTGACTCAGCCCAGCTGGTGTTTGTTGCAGGGGAATCTGTGCAGACTGGGACTCTTCAGGATCAGGCCCCAGACTTGGTTCAGGTGATGCCTGAGGCAAAGGATCCAGTGTAGACTGAGTCTTCTCTGGTTCCGAGTCCGAGCCCGAGTCCCAGGCCATCACACACTGCAGCGGGATTGCTGCACTAAGGTGCCCTTGTGAGATGACATGGTCTTCAGGGCTGGCACCACCATTAATAGTCCCCAGTTTTTTTCTTCTCCCACCAGACATTCCTCTCTGTTGTCACATGGCATGCCCTGGCCCCTTCTAATTTGACTTGTTGCCTCCTGTGTGATAGAGGATGCAACCCCATCATTAGTTGGAGGCAGTTATGCTTCCGGGTACCAGTTGCTGAAAACCGCAGAAGGGAACTGCTCCTGTGGGGCTTCCAGAAGTATCTGATTGGCCACCGTGAGAACAGGATGTTGGGCTAGATGGACCTTTGGTTTGACCCAGTAGCCCTCTTTTTACATCCTTAAGTAAGATTCACCTGCCAGCCCAGCTAGCTTCTACACATGGAATGGGGAGCTGGCTCATCTTGTCCTTTGAACCGGGGAGCAAAATGTGTTGAGCCAGCCCTGGTGGACCTCGGTGACTTATTGGGCAGTCAACTAGGCAGCAGTTGTCTTCTAGCAACTGAAGGGGACCATCAGGAGATGGTGGGAGAATCATGGGAGCTCTGAGATTATGCAGGTGGCCTATGAGGAGCTAGCAGATCCTAGGGTGATCAGTTATACATGGACAAATAGAGAAGAAAAGAAAGTGAATGATGGAGATGTGAAGAAGAAGAAGAAGAAGAAGAAGAAGAAGAAGAAGAAGAAGAAGAAGAAGAAGAAAGAGCTGTGCATAAGTGCGCCCTTCTCCGTATTGCCTCAGGCCACATCATTCTCCAATGGGATTTTAACTGTAAAGAGGTAGATATAGGTTGCTCTGACCACAGGGAGATTAATGATTACCTTAAGTGCACTCCACAAAAGAGTCCACATAACCTTCAATGTAAACCCAACTCTCCTTTAAAAATGGTGGTAAGTGCATTTTCAAGTTACCAGAAAGACAACAAGGAAAAACAGATGCCATAGACTCATAGGACAGAGGTTCCCCATTTCCTCCCCATGGACAACTTGATCATTACTGATGGTCCTCAAGGACCATTTATTGATTTTGTTGCTTGCGTAGCAATTGCACTACGCCACGGTCAAAGCTGTGTCGTTTCTAATTGTACTTTCATTGCTTCTTTTATTTCTCATATTGTATTTCATCACTTAACAATAATTCTAATTATAAGAAGCAATCAAAATGCAGTTAAAAATCATGATGAATATTCAATGTGGACAGGCCACCCAAATCAAGTTCATGGACCACAGGTGGTCTGTGCACCAGTTTGGGAACCTCAATCATTGAACATTTGGAGTTGTCTTATTCTGTTGGTCCAGCTTACCCAGTTTTATTGGACTACAACTCCCATCATCCCCAGTTATTGGAGTACAACTGTCCAGCTAATGGTCAGGGGTGATGGGAGTTGCAGTCCAACAACACCTGGGCACCCAAGATGGATCTAACCTGACAACAAATTCTCCAGTAATTGAGGCAGAAGTCTTTCCAGGATTTGTGACCCAAGCCAGGGATTGAACCGCAGCCATCTCGAAGGCAAAGCAACCATTCTACAGTACAACTGAATGATGGCCCTTCCCTATTCAAATCCCTTTGTGTCCACACATCAGTTCGACTGCCTTAGTAATTCAAGGCATTGTGAGCTCTAATGAAAATCAATGAAACAACGTATCTAAATCCTTCAAATGTAGACGGCTCTTTCTCTCTTTACAGTGAAGGTTTATTTGATTTAGGATGGAGACCATGCAACCCCGCTGAGAATCTGCCCTCATGTTTATCGTACAAAGTATTTTTACGTCTTTGTCGCTCAACCACAGCCGCGTCCCTCTACTAGGCAAGCAATTTCATGGGAAAAACAGAACGTACCCGCAGAAGACCATTAAGGGGACATGGTGCCTTAAATTATGGCGTGATCAGCAGTTGGGTCAGGCTATTTTAAGAGCAATCTGTATTTTTAGCATCTCCTGAAGAAGAAGGTTTCCCTGAGAATCAAAAAAAAAGTTACTCTACTTGGAGGGTATTTACTTACGGTTCCAAAGTCATCGAGTCCTGCATTTCCAGTTCTTATTGTCCAAACACATGTCTGTGAAATGCATACCTGGTTTCACAGGTAGACCTTGCATTTATTATTATTATTATTTTATTTCTTGTATTTATATCCCACCTTTTCCTCCAAGGAGCTCAAGGTTAATTGGAGATTTTTAAGCAGGGGTTGGGTAGGCATCCATTGGGGATTCTTTAGTTGAGATTCCTGCATTGCAGAGGGTTGGGGGTAGAAGACCTTTTGGGTGCCTTTCAGCTCTTCAGTTCTATGTTAAATCATCAGCTGTTTCCATAGAATCATAGAGTTGGAAGGAACCCTGAGGACCATCTGGTCCAACCCCCTGCAATGCAGGAATATGCAGCTGTCCAATACAGGGATCAAACCTGCAACCATGGTGTGATGAGCACCATGCTCCAACCAGCTGAGCTACCCAGGAAGTCACAAACAAGGCCTTCTCTATTGGAGGGATTTGGGGCACTCAAAACAATGTTTGCTGGATCCTTTCCTTTACCATCGCTCTCAGTGACCCTTCACTTGCTCTCAGCGGTGTCATCATGTAGCCTGAACACAATTGGCTGCTGCATTATGTCATGGGGAGGTTGCCCTAGTGAAATTGGTACTTCTGGTTTCTACCTGAATATGGAAACTGGAAAATATTCAGTGCAACTTTATATTGATACTCATTCTTGTTTCTGGAAGCAATGAGGACTCTGTGCCTTTGTGATTTGAGAGGTTCAGGAGGCCACCTTGAGAGAGTGGGTAAGAGCTCAGTAAACAAGGCTGCTCCAACCTGAGCTTTTGAAGGCACCCAAATTCACTCCCAAACATGGTCACCGGAACTGCAGATTTGCACAGTTGGGTTCTACCTCTTTCCCCATGAACAACTCCAGCCCCACCCATGATCCCCATCTACAAAAGGAAAAGTTAGTTACGACAGATCTTCTTATCTGACCTACTTACAAACGTACATGAAAGCGCAGTTAATTTGGGCTGTTATCTGTCAAATTGATAAAAATCTCCCTGTTTGGTACTAATTATATTCAGCATGAATTTCTCTGCACAGGGACATTAGAAACGGCATTATGACCTCAATGAGAGTGAGACAACTCCCTGAGTTGAGTTGGAAATTTCCCCCTGGAGCTTTGCCCTAATAAAATTTCCAGGGCCTGTTTCTATGGAGCATTCCTGAAACAGTACATTTCTCCCCTTCAAAAAATAAATAAATCCCATTGTCAAATGTCATGTAGATGGTTGTGGTTTGAGGAAGGGTGGTGCAATAATGAGGATCTTGTTTAGGAAAATGAAGAAAGTTGTCACATGTGTGATGGGAGCCAATGGGCTTCTTTGGTCATGGAACGCATGAGGAAGGGTAAGAGTCTTAAACAGAATAGAGATTGAGATTAAATATTTGTTGTCCGTTATAACTGTTGAGTATGAGAACAATCTACCAGGGAGACTCCAGAGTCAAAAGCCCTGAAATATAGACCAATTTAAGGAGATTATATCCATGCCTGGCATCAATCATCACCTCATGTCACAGAGGAGGCAAGGAGACTCTAAAGTAACATAAGAGACAAACCAAAAACCAGGAAGCACCAGAATTCAAGCCCACAACATTCAGGAAGTTTTGTATGTATGCTGCTGGGAGATATATTTGTATTCCATCTTTGCTCACATAAGCAATAAAACAAAGGAATCTTGCTCCTTTGGCCAGACATAGCTTACTTCTTAATTTTTCCACCAAAGTGATTCGCTTAATGGTCTTCTGCGAATTAGCTAACATGGCCCCTTTTTAGGTTCTTCAGATGTTGGCAAACCCAGGCAGCTGCAAGAGGATAACCAATTTAAGGTTTGAAATGACAATCCTCATTGTTGTTTTGAAAAATATGGTTAGCAGGGCCAAATCGGGAGATTCCAATAGTTGCTCTCCAGTCATTTTAGTAATGTTATGTATGTATGTATGTATATGAATAACATTTTATCTGTGCTAAGGTTTTTGGCAAAAATAAAACCCATGAGCAATTTACAAAAAAAATGAAATAAAAATCAAAGAACCATAGAATGCATCCCATGGGTCATCAGAAAAATCCTTCCACAATAAAAGACAAATACTTATCAGAATGCAATAAATACATCTAAACTCCATCATTTAAAGCAGTTCCAGGATAACACCCAGTGAAGTTGTTGACACCCAAATTCAATGTGTTTACAACTGACTGTATGTGTGTTTGTGTGTAAAATATGAAGATCCATACATTTCTCCTAGAATGCATACTGTTGTACGCAATATTGCACAGTACATTCACTTTTGCAAGCCATTTCACCTGGTATATGCTACTTGTGCATATTACTATAAGTAATATAATAATTTTGTACGTGTTCTTTGGGCGGGGAAGTGCAATTTCCAAAAGAAAGGTGTGTTTTGGCACGTGCATTGGTATGGGACGTGTGAATTTTTTAGATTTGCATTTAAATCAAGCTGAATGAGTTTACTCCCCCAGCAGTAGAGTGCAAAAACTCGTCATATGGGATAAGTTATTCTTTGCATCCTGCCTCAGCTTTTGCAGGGTTGGGGAAACTCATAAGAGGAGGAGAAAATAGCTAGACACACACAGTAAGCTAGTGCCCATGAGCAGGGCCAGATTTAGGTTTGATGAGGCAATGGGGCCCTTTATATGTCCAGCTGTCCTTGGTCAACAACAAATTGCCACTGTTTTTTGTGTTTAATATATGTAATATAGTAATTTATGGACCTGAGTGCTCACTGGAAGGACAGATCGTGAAGCTGAGGCTCCAATACTTTGGCCACTTCATGAGAAGAAAAGACTCCCTGGAAAAGACCCTGATGTTGGGAAAGATGGAGGGCACAAGGAGAAGGGGACGACAGAGGACAAGATGGTTGGACAGTGTTCTCGAAGCTACCAGCATGAGTTTGACCAAACTGCGGGAGGCAGTGGAAGACAGGAGTGCCTGGCGTGCTCTGGTCCATGGGGTCACGAAGAGTCGGACACGAATAAACGACTAAACAACAACAACAATTTATGGACCTAATAGGTATCTAAAGCCATTTGCACATAATAGTCAGTACAGAATGTAGGCACCCTGTATATAGAAATGAGCAAACCAGTGATATTTTAGGGAGCAGGCTAGCAGGCAGGGCCCATTACTTGCATCATAGGAGCCTACACAACACAAAACACTGTTGCTGTATGTAGGTTTTATTTTATTTGTTTTTTATCTTATATTTTGGAAATGTACATCCAGTGGTTTTTTTTCCTTTAATTTTTTGGGGGGCCCCCAAGAGAGTGGGGCCCTAAGCTATAGCTTGTTTAGCTTATATGTAAATCCGGCACTGGTCATGAGAGGCTTGCTGGGTGAAGCACAGAGAACATAAGAAAAGCCTGCTGGATCTGACCAGTAGCTTATCTAGACCAGCATCCTGTTCTCACAGTGGCCGAACAGATACTTGTGGAAAGCTCACCTGCATGACTTAGGCTGACCTCAACTCTCCCCACCTGTTATTCCCAGCCACTGGTGTTCAGAAGCATTACTGCCTGTGACAGTAGCTAGTAGCCATTGGTAACAGTATCCCCCATGAATTAGTCCAATCCAACAGGCTCTTCTTATGATGTTAATGTTAATCCTCATCTAAAGCCTTCCAAGTCAACTAGTACTTCCAGTTGGTGCTTGTTTTATAACTAGCAACTCGTGATTTCGTCAACGTTCATATTTCCTGGCTCAGGGGGGAAAAAATACAAGCTTGAGGAATGAGGATGTTGAAGAAAACACTCCAAATAATTCATTCTCACTGATTTAATCCATTTTGTCTGATTTAATTAAAGTTTAATTGGGATGAGAGTTTAATTTATAGAATTTGGAATTACTTTATCCCTATATAAAAAATTTAGTCAGCAGCTTGTCTGTAATTAATCTGAGTATGTGGTTTATACTTTCTGCTCTTCTTCTTCATTGATTTTTATAATAATATATATTACTTTCTCTTTTGACTATTTCTAGATTCAAATGCATTTATAAGAAAAATAATTTATTTCAAAGGTTTCTCTCCTCTCCCCTTTTCCTTCTCTTTTTCTTATTTTAAATATTTATTTTCCTATACTTTTCTTTGCTTAGTTATAATATGATTATAATATTCTAACAGATGGATTAACGATGCCTGTTTTTATTGCCCTGTTTGCGTAATGATATATCTCTTTTTGGTACTCATTTTCAGCATCTTGATTAGGCACTTTCACAATGCAATGAAGAGATAATGCGGCTATGCCTATCTGATTCAGTGACAATGCAGACGTGTATTTCTGAGCATTTTTTAAAAAAAATAACAATACATGTTTGAGTGACTCAATGCTCAACTCAAAAACAAATCAAGGGTCATGACCTTGAAAGGCTGAGTTCCTAGAACCATCAGGGCAGCTGTGTCCAGGGCAGCTGTTTAGCAGCTCCATCTGGTACACAGGCTGAGACCCTACCTGCCCGCAGACTGTCTTGCCAGAGTGGTGCATGCTCTGGTTATCTCCCACTTGGACTACTGCAATGTGTTCTACGTGGGGCTCTCTTTGAAGGTGACCCGGAAACTACAACTAATCCAGAATGTGACAGCTAGACTGGTGACTGGGAGCGGCCGCCAAGACCACATAACACTGGTCTTGAATGACCTACATTGGCTCCCAGTACGTTTCTGAGCACAATTCAAAGTGTTGGCGCTGACCTTTAAAGCCCTAAATGGCCTCGGTCCAGTATATCTGAAGGAGCGTCTCTACCCCCATCGTTCAGCCTGGACACTGAGGTCCAGCACTGAGGGCCTTCTGATGGTTCCCTCACTGCGAGAAGCCAAGTTACAGGGAACCAGGCAGAGGGCCTTCTCGGTAGTGGTGCCCACCCTGTGCAAACCCTCCCACCAGATATCAAAGAGAACAACAACTACCAGACTTTTAGAAGACAACTGAAGGCAGCCCTGTTTAGGGAAGCTTTTACTGTTTGATGGACTACTGTATTTTAATATTTTGTTGGAAGCTGCCCAGAGTGGCTGGGGAAACCCAGCCAAATGGGTGGGGTATAAATAATAAGTTGTTGTTGTTGTTGTTGTTGTTGTTGTTGTCACTCCTATCCATCTCCATTCATATCCTGCAGAAGCATGTAGGTCAGTGGTACAACATTTGCTTTACCCAGACTCAACCTTTGGCCTCTCCACATAGGGCTGAGAAAAGCTCTGTGTCTGGAAGCCTGGGGAGCTACAGCCAATCAGTGTAGACAACACTGATCTAGATAGACCAATTGGTCTGACTTGTTACAAAAGTAGATTCCTAGGTCCATCGCTGGTCCTGCAGTTATGTAGCTTTTTTGGAAGGCCATTTCTGAGCCAGGCTGGAGGAATTCTTCCTATCACTGGCCATACCTACATGTTTGGAGACAACAGATGACTAACTCGCCAGTAGTTTTTCTCAGTTCTTAATTTAGATTCATTTACATTGTTCACACACACACACACACACACCAGCTTACAGTGTTGGCAAGTACAGTTGAACAAGTCCTTATTCCTCCACTCCAAAAGTCCAATACCTGAACCTTCCCTTTGTGGTGTGGTTCCGCAGTAGCTCATACTCTTCAATCTTCTACTAAGCTATACCTGTTGTTCTCTGGATGCTGTGGGACTCCAACCAGAAAGAGAATCCAGTTGGCCAATGTGATTACAGGATGCTGGACTTGAAGGGCCATTGGTCTCATCCAGCAAGTTCTTCTTCAGTTCTTAACTCCCATCAGCCCCAGTCAGGGTGGGCAATGGTCAGGGATGCTGGCATCTGTAGTCCCAGGAAATAGGTGTCAGTATCTTCTCTGCTCCAGAGGACCATTTCCCAAAAAAAGAAAAAGGCTTTTTTTCTGTCCCATGTAGGACCAGTCTGGAAAGTTAGCCTTGGTGAAGACTTGACATTTTCATCCCCCCTAAAAAAGTTTTTGATTTGAGTTTCCATTGAAATGAGGTTGTATTTTAATCTTTTAATGTTTTAATCTTGTTTTTAAGTTGTATTTCAATCAATTTGCTTTTATATCAGGTGTTAGCCGCCCTGAGCCCGGTTTTGGCTGGGGAGGGCGAGGTATAAATAAATTATTATTATTATTATTATTATTATTATTATTATTATTATATCTCTAGATATCACTTCCCTTAGGCATTAGCCTTATCAGGGCCATTAGGTGACACCCTTTGGTGTCTCCAAATATTCAGGCCTCTCATGATGAGATATCTGAATAGCTATCACATGGAAGAAGTCAAACACATTATATTCTCTGCTGCTCCTGGAGATTGGGACCAGATCAAATGTTACAGGTGAGTTTCCATCAGGAGGAACTTCAAAGGGCTATTCCACAATAGACCCAATTGCCTTGATGGGTTGGAGGTTCTCCTATGTTTTAAGTCTTCCAGTAGAAGCTAGACAGGCATCTGTTGGAGATGCTGGAGCTCTGGATTCCCTGCACCAAGCAGAGAGTTTAACTGAATGATTAACACAATCCCCTCCCATGTTATGTTACGTACAAGATGGATGAGAGAAATGTCTCTTCCCTTTTTTCACTCTATGAAAGTAATTGGTGGGAAAGTTTCTCATTGACATCTCTCAGAGTTGGTACTCGATGCATGCGGTGGAAGTTGAGCTGAAATGAAATTTTCCAAAGGACTCATTTTCTCAGAATTTTTCTGTGGGGGGAAAAACAAGATTTTGCTTTCCAAGAAAAAGAAGGCCACCTTGCAGAATCTTTCTCTGCATTCTGCACCAATTTGTTCTTCTAGAGTGGCTGCAGCAAGAGTTGTTGCTGCAGCAAGGCAAACAAACAAAAACTGAGGAAACAAGGAATGGCACGCCTCTGGTCAATACAAATGGGACCCCCCCCCATGCCAAGAAACTGTTGGAGAAATTCTTCGTCCACAAATAGGGAGATGAACTTTGAAAATACATTTGTGCACTGCTGTTGCTGCTGGGAAGGGGTGATACTAGCTAAATGCCGCATGCAGGAAAATTAGGAGAGAATTTGGGAGAAGGGCTGTAGGTGAGGAGTAGAGCATCTGCTGTGCATGCAGAAGGTCCCAGGTTCAAATCCCGGCATCTCCAGGTAGGGCTGGGCAAGACCCCAGCCTGAAACCCTGGAGAGCTTCTGAAAAATTCTGAGCTAGATGGACAAAATATCTGACTTGGTATAAGACAGCTTCCAATGATCCTAGATGGTTCTGCTCAGCTGAAATGTATTTAGGAAATGAAATGATTTATTTTTAAGCTATAAACTTAGAAACATTACTCATTGAGCTTGACTGATTTCCTCATTTTCCTGGGCTGACCCTTCAAGGCTTCTGAGATCCACCACCCTTCCATAAACTATATCATAACATGCCATTTTAGCGATATTGTAGTCAACCATTAAAAAAAAAAAAAACTTGCTCAGCATGATGATTCTTAGCTGAGTTTGACAAGTTCTTTATGGTCAGGTTTTTAAGCAGTTGGAAAATAACAAGAAGATGAGAGGGTGGAAGTGAAGGACAAACCAGCAGCTGACTGAACTGTGATAGGACCCACTCAGACTCAGATATCCTCCCTTTAATCTCTGGGAATCTAGATTTGTCTTTCAAATTCGCTGAACCTTCCTTGAACCAGCTGCGGTCTGCATGCTTTCACCCCCCGCAAATCCACTTGTCTTGTTTTGATATTCTGAGCCTTCTGAGTTATTCTGTATGCAACAACTTATGCAAATCACAATTGTGGTCAGACGTTAGTTAGCTGACGGTGCTGTTATTTCTTCAGATGGTTTATGTGCATGTAAGCTTAGGAGAAACCCTGATAGATCATTAGGATAAATAACAGGCACCGTCTGTTCTTACACGTCAGCATAATCTGGCTGCGACGTGCGCCTCGTGGCTGCTGCTGATCTATTCTTCTGACCTGCGTTTCTCCAGTAACATCTAGCAAAGGACGGGGTACACTAGAATGTGATTGCGCTTAACGCAGGGGTCAGCAAACTTTTTCAGCAGGGGGCTGGTCCACTGTCCCTCAGACCTTGTGGGGGGCCAGACTATATTTTTTTTGGGGGGGGAATGATGCAAGAGCCCCCGTGGCTGCTTACCTGTGTCTTGTGAGTGGCAGGGGCTGGCGGTGGCGGGACGATGAGCGGTGCGTGAAAGGGCTCCGGAGAGGGGCTGCTTAAAATGGCAGACAAATGCTTAAAATGGCAGACAAAGGGTCAGGCTGCCTGCTATAACTGCTACTTCCTACCTTTATTGATATATAATCCACCAATAACAAGTTGTCCTGGCGTACTCTGAGGTTAGTCTCAATGGTGCACATGATGAGCAGTGTAGTCTAAGCAGAATGTTCTATTGACCACAGTCCCAAGGGCAGTGCTAGAGAGGAGTCAGGATCTAATACAGGTTCAGGTCAAATGCCAAGAGAAAGGTTCAGAGTCAGACGGTAAGGCCAGATTCCTGCCTCTGCAGCAAATCTAGGGTGGGAATCCTAGGATCAGTACAAAAATCGCAGGCCAGTGGAATTCCTGAAACTGTCAAGCCATGGCTCATCACCAGTGAAAGTTGAGCAGCCACAGAGACTCTTCCTTGCTTCTTGTTTATTTCTCCCAGTCTTATTTGACGCACCTGAGCTTGCTCCAGCTGAGTAGCCGTGTCTCTCCCCTTAAGAAAACATGCAATCATCACCCGACCTGAATTTAATCCAGTTGAGTGGCCACAAACCTCTTCTCAGACCTAGCGAGCCCTATGATCTTCACCTCATCAACTACACTAGTGGCCAAAATTGTGGAAACCTTTTGGGGGGAAAGTGTGTTTCCAAGGTTTGATGGCTCATAACACCTGATTGGCTCTCTTAACACTCATGTTCATTGGCTACATTCAAGTGAAGGAAAGTTACTGCATATCAACCTAAGCAAATCGTGCTTCCTTTTTCTGGTTATTTGGCTTTAACTTTTGATAGAATACAGAATTGAACAAACCTTTTTGCATTCCATTCTTCATTAAATTATCTTTCCACTGATATATAATTTTATGGTATTACTCCAAAAAAAGTGGCGTTATGAGCCATTAAACCTCAGAAATTTCCACAATTTTGGCCACTAGTGTAGTAAGCTGGGCTGTGTTCTCTCACCTGCCTCAGTTTCTTAAACTGTATTTCCCATCCCACTGTGTTCCTGCAGAAGGGCACATCTCTGGTTCTGGAGATATGTCCATTTCTCCTGTCTCCTGTGAACTGTTGGCTGCCCGTTCGACATCTGATGTCCACTGAGTACCTTCTAAGTCCCCAACATCCCCTTCACCCTCTTCAGCTTGTCCTGGTGTGTACCAGTTGTGGCTATGCCCTTCTCCGGGATCTTCTTCCCCTTCCTCGATGTCCTGCCAGTTCATGACAAAAGTGCTCTTGGTGGAAGGCCCTTGGCTTAGTGGTGGAGCATTTGCTTTGAATGCAGAAGGTCCCAGATTCAGCCCTCAGCATCTCAGGTAGGGCTGGGAGATACCCTAGTCTGGAGATCCACTCCCCATCCGTGTAGCCAGTAATGAGCTAGATCAAGCAGTTATTTGACTCATTATAAGGCTCTTGAAGCAAGTGTGAGTTACAAAGCTGGTGCAAAACACAGCCACCTGATTGTTGGCTTGTTTATATTCTTCACCCAGGCAAGGAGAAGTCATTATCAAAGTTCAGGGTCACTTTCCAGCCAGGCAAAACTACTCAAGGAGGGTGCACAGAGGGAATGGAGAGGGAGTGTAGTCTGGGGGTGGTCCTATGGGTCAAATAGAAGAGCTTGGAGACCCACAATTAGCCCTGGGGTCTGAAGTTGGAAGGGAAGCAGAGAATTGGGACACCCATCAACCAGCACCTGTAGGATGGAGATGCTCCTCTCCATGCTGTGTTTATTTATGCAGCAGTCGGACCAACAATACGTGTCCCCATTGCAGAGGATTTCTCACCCTGGGCTCTTGGTTTCCCTTCCAACCTTTAAAGCAGATTTGCATCGCATGCAGATTTTATAGCCCGACGTGTAAGGAATCCGTCACCTCTGCTGTGTCTAATTCATCTTTGCTCTCTCTATTTTTCCGCATAAGCAGATATTGCAAAGTGATAAAGCCCTGTGGAAATATGTAAGGCAGATAAGCAATCCTCAGGTACTTCTTTTAATGTAGCAGATGAAGAACTATTCTCTTTATTAGCAAGGTTCATTTGTGTGTGAAATCAGATAGGCCTATTTAAAGAAGAAGTGGCAAAAATGAATTTATCTGTCACTGAACCGATGCGCAAACGTTGGTGTGAGTTGCGGTGAAATTGCAGATTTGTTAGAAGTCGATCTCCCACTTTCTTGTCTAACGTAATGACTTACTTCTCCACATCCTGATCTTTTCCTGTAACAACCCCTCCCTGACCCCCTATATTTTAAGGTTATCGGTTGCAACGCAAGCTGTTAGTCCTCATCAACACTTCGTGAAGCGAGGACGTAATAGCCCTCCTGGAACAGACCAGTGGCTCATTTGGTCCACCATCCTTTTCAGGGCAGAGTCTTCAGAGATTTCCTGCTCCCAGCAGCACAGCTTCTTCCAGAGTCCCCGGTTATGGGAAAATCTCTTCTATACAGTTCGAAGTAACCAAGTGTTTATTGTCTCCAGGCACAAGAAAATGCTAAACACTACGATCAACTATCTACAGTTCTTCTGGTTCTTTAAGTAAAAATACATATGTACAGGGAAGTGACGCGGGTGGCACTGTGGTCTAAACCACAGAGCCTCTTGGGCTTGCCGATCAGAAGGTTGACAGTTCGAATCCCTGTCACAGGGTGAGCTCCCGTTGCTCAGTCTCTGCTCCTGCCAACCTAGCAGTTCGAAAGCATGTCAAAGTGCAAGTAGATAAATAGGTACCGCTCCAGCGGGAAGGTAAATGGCATTTCCGTGTGCTGCTCTGATTCACCAGAAGGTAAAGGGACCCCTGACCATTAGGTCCAGTCATGGCCGACTCTGGGGTTGCAGCGCTCATCTCGCTTTATTGGCCGAGGGAGCCGGCGTACAGCTTCTGGGTCATGTGGCCAGAATGACTAAGCCGCTTCTGGTGAACCAGAGCAGCACACGGAAACACCATTTACCTTCCCGCCAGAGTGGTAGCTATTTATCTACTTGGTTAGGTTAGGAGGAGCAGGGCTCGAGCAACAGGAGCTCACCCCGTCACGGGGATTCGAACCGCCGACCTTCTGATCGGCAAGCCCTAGGCTCTGTGGTTTAACCCACAGCGCCACCCGTGTGCCAAGTGAGGACCATAGGAATCTCCTAACAACTTTCTGCACCCTTAACAAACCACAGCTCCCAGAATTCCTTGGGGGAAGTCATGGCTGTTTATAGTGGTATCATAGTGCTTTAAATGAATGGTGTGGATGAGGCCTGACTATACAATGCACCTGATACACCTTCCTTTCTTGGAGAAGCAGGGAGAAAATTAAAGTACAGTGATACCTCAGGTTACATACTCTTCAGGTTACATACACTTCAGGTTACAGACTCTGCTAACCCAGAAATAGTGCCTCAGATGAGAAGCTTTGCTTCAGGATGAGAACAGAAATCGCGCAGCAGCAGGAGGCCCCATTAGCTAAAGTGGTGCTTCAGGTTAAGAACAGACCTCCAGAACGAATTAAGTACTTAACCTGAGGTACCACTGTACATAAATGGAAATATGACACTTTTTAAAAAGCCCTTTAACTTTCTGAGTCATAGGCTCCAACCCAGGGGGACCCCCAGCATTCAAAGAACCAAGAAGCCCCCACAAGGCCTGAACTGGAAGCCCCCCTTCCTTATTGCCAAGAGGTGATACACGCCCTTTGACAAAACCTCCTTAGCGTGCTTCATGCACAATATAATAGGGGCCGCGACTTAAGTGGCAGACAGCTAAAAGATTTTGAGAGAAAATAGAATTTACTAAATCCCTTTCTCTTTTATGTTGCCTCTCGTATTTATTTCTCATCTATTTAATTGTGCCGTTTCCTTCCTCCCTTCTTTCCTTTCTCTTTCTTTCTCTCCACTCCCCCCCCCCCCGCCGCCCTTTTTGTCTGACAATCTGCCTTGTATTTTAAACACATCTGAATAGTTTCCCAATGTTCTATTCAGATTGCCTTAAGCTATTGATAATAGTTTCCTTTTTTAAAAAAATAATAATTATATAATAATAATAATAAACGAGAAGAGGATTCAGGCGAACTCAAATTCCGAGTACAGCTGGTTCAGCAAGGGAAGTGAACTCTGAGGTATTTGAATAGATAATCTAGAATGATGCCATTTCCTTATCAGCATTTAGAGAATAAATACATGTTCATTGTGGGAATAAAAAAAAATTAAGAAAGGAATACAATAGGAGCATTTGGTTTAATACAATCTCTTTAGGATTGGAAGCACCAAATATTATCCCCCCACCCACCCCACCCTCTGGGTCTAAAACAATGAATGCCTTCAAAAGAGTTCAGTTCTGTATTGTTGGCGACTAGGAGAAATAGTCTGCAGAATTTAAATACTTCCTTTAGATACTGCTGCTTTGCTCCCCTTTATTAATCACATTTATATCTTGCCTTTTGTAAAGGAGTTCAGGGTAGCTGCACACAGATGTTAGACCTTTTCTGTATATATATATTTTTCAACAGCCCTGTGAAAGCGTGTGGCTGACCCAACTTCAGCCAGCAAGCTTCATTGCTGAGGAGGAATTCGAACTCAGGGCTCTACAGGGGTGCAGCTCAGTGCTCACAGTTTGCCACCAAACTGAGCATTTCACACAAGTCCTTGCCATGGGATCACATTCACCCTGTGCTATACTGGCTCCCGGTGGAGTACAGGATCAGGTTTAAGGTGCTGGTTTTAACCTTTAAAGCCCTATATGGCCTAGGACCCTCGTACCTATGGGACCGCCTCTCCTGGTATGTCCCACGGAGGACCTTACGGTCTTCAAATAAAAACATCTTGGAGGTCCCAGGCCACAGGGAGGTTAGGCTGGCCTCAACCAGAGCCAGGACTTTTTCGGCTGTGGCCCCGATCTGGTGGAACGCTCTGTCACAAGAGACTGGGGCCCTGCGGGACTTGACATCTTTCCGCAGGGCCTGCAAGACAGAGCTGTTCCACCAGGCCTTTGGCCAAGGCACAGTCTGACCCCCTCCTTTGGTAATCCTCACAGAACTCTAGCCCAATGGTTGCCATTAATTTGATTTTGAATTGATTTTAAAGTGAATTGATTTTAGAATGCTGTGTTACTTTTATTGTTGTTAGCTGCTCTGAGCCCAGCTTCGGCTGGGGAGGGCGGGATATAAATTATTTATTTATTTATTTATTTATTTATTTATTTATTTATTATTATTATTATTATTTCTGACCATCAGATCTGTTTGACAGCGGAACAGTCTCCCTCAGGAGATGGTGGTCTCTCTTTACTTGGAGGTTTTTAAGCAGAGGTTGGGTGACCATCTGTCATGAATGCTTGAGATGCAGGGAGTTGGACCAGATGACCCTTCTAATTCTAAAATTCTCTTATTCTACGGAAACTTGCTGTCAGATGGCTGTTGTGGTTGCTCGAGAGTAACCAGGCAGGACTCCAAACCTGTGTTTGACAGGTTTTATTTTGGTGCAAGCTAGAGAAAGCTAGAGAGTTCCAGAAAGACATCTACTTCTGCTTCATTGACTATGCAAAAGCCTTTGACTGTGTCGACCACAGCAAACTATGGCAAGTTCTTAAAGAAATGGGAGTGCCTGATCACCTCATCTGTCTCCTGAGAAATCTCTATGTGGGACAAGAAGCTACAGTTAGAACTGGATATGGAACAACTGATTGGTTCAAAATTGGGAAAGGAGTACAACAAGGCAGTATATTGTCCCTGCTTATTTAACTTATATGCAGAATTCATCATGCGAAAGGCTGGGCTGGATGAATCCCTAGCCGGAATTAAGATCGCCGGAAGAAATATCAACAACCTCAGATATGCAGATGACACAACCTTGATGGCAGAAAGTGAGAAGGAATTAAAGAACCTTTTAATGAGGGTGAAAGAGGAGAGCACAAAATATGGTCTGAAGCTCAACATCAAAAAAACAAAGATCATGGCAACTGGCCCCATCACCTCCTGGCAAATAGAAGGGGAAGAAATGGAGGCAGTGAGAGAATTTACTTTCTTGGGCTCCATGATCACTGCAGATGGTGACATGAAATTAAAAGACGCCTGCTTCTTGGGAGAAAAGCAATGACAAACTTAGACAGCTTCTTAAAAAGTAGAGACATCACCTTGCCAACAAAGGTCCGTATAGTTAAAGCTATGGTTTTCCCAGTAGTGATGTATGGAAGTGAAAGCTGGACCATAAAGAAAGCTGATCGCCAAAGAATTGATGCTTTTGAATTATGGTGCTGGAGGAGACTCTTGAGAGTCCCATGGACTGCAAGAAGATCAAACCTAGCCATTCTGAAGGAAATCAGCCCTGAGTGCTCACTGGAAGGACTGATGGTGAAGCTGAGGCTCCAATACTTTGGCCACCTCATGAGAAGAGAAGACTCCCTGGAAAAGACCCTGATATTGGGAAAGATGGAGGGCACAAGGAGAAGGGGACGACAGAGGATGAGATGGTTGGATGGTGTTCTTGAAGCTACCAGCATGAGTTTGAACAGACTGCGGGAGGCAGTGGAAGACAGGAGTGCCTGGCGTGCTCTGGTCCATGGGGTCATGAAGAGTCGGACACAACTAAACGACTAAACAACAACAACAACATTTTGGTGCAAACTATTTACGCCCGCTCCCTCGGCCAATAAAGCGAGATGAGCACCGTAACCCCAGAGTCAGCCAAGACTGGACCTAATGGTCAGGGGTCCCTTTACCTTTACCTTTATTTACAGTGAAGAGCCCCAAAGCTCATGTCTGGCTCAATCACTTGCAGAATCCGGGAGTGGTCTTTTTTTGGACCTCCCCCAACATAAGAGTTTCGTTCCCCCCTACCTTCTCCTTCCCTCTTTGCGCCTTAGGCTACTGCGCAGGATGGGCGATGGCAAGGGCGTGTTTCCCTCCTGTCCGGCTTGCCCAGGAGTGGTGTTAAGGCTCCCACAGCATTCTCTGGTCCTTGCACCTCTTCCCCACTAGAGGTGGGGCTTTCCTCCTCCCCAGAAGAGGAACTGCTTCGCAAGATTTTTGGAGGCTCCCTGTAACACAACTGCCCTCTATTCCTTGCCTCTGAGTCGATGGCAGTTCCCTGACACTTACATATGTTGAGTTGGCTAGTTTCTACACACACACACACACACACACACACACACACACACACACGTTCTCTATCCAGGTGAGCAAAACAGATTCTCAGAAAGCACATTTCAGGCATGCAAAACATTCAAAGAAAAGTACAGGGCAGGTCCAGTGAGGAGAATTGCCTATGGAGATGTAGGTAATAGGTGGGATAAGCCAAAGAGAGTACAAATGTCCTGGAGTGCCACATTTTGCCCCCAGCTCTGAGGTTCCCAACCTCTGAATTATACCCAATGGTTGTATGAATGGGTATTCAGTTCAGGGTAGGAAGAGGAGGAAAATTTCCTTCTTATTTCATGCCTCTTGAGCCCTTTCCTAATAGAGACATCAATGGGATGTTTAATCATACCTGTGGGTACCATCATAATAATATATATATATATATATATATATATATATATATATATATATTCACTTTTTCGTCAGCCGACACATGTTCCAAGCCTTCCAGGAACCAATTAAGTTGACATTTACCAAATGTGACTCTTAGAGCAAAATTGGTTCTTCTTCAGCAGCAGCAGCAGCAGCAGCCTCGCTGTGGTTCCTGCTCCATCCTTGACTATTGTTGGCTATGATTGTGTGCAAATGTATTTGATGCGCTGAAGGGGAGGCATCGAAATGAGGACAATGCTTCCATCCACAGGGCTCTTGCATGTATAGAAGTCAGTTAGGTCTGACAGACAGCACGGGGACCTGGTCAGATAAGGCACAGGAATGACTTGGTCTGCAGGTAGCTGGTGTTGGGTGTCTTGTTGATTAGAATAGAATAGAATAGAATAGAATAGAATAGAATAGAATAGAATAGAATAGAATTTATTATTTATACCCCACCCATCTGGATGAGTTTCCCCAGCCACTCTGGGCGGCTTCCAACAAAGTGTTAAAATGCAGTGGTCTGCTAAACATTAAAAGCTTCCCTAAACAGGGCTGCCATCTGAAGGTCTGACATCTGAAGTCTTCTAAAAGGCTGGTAGTTGTTCTTCTCTTTGACATCTGGTGGGAGGACGTTCCACAGGGCAGGCACCACTACCGAGAAGGCCCTCTGCCTGGTTCCTTGTAGCTTGGCTTCTCGCAGTGAGGGAACCACCAGAAGGCCCTCGGGGCTGGACCTCAGTGTCCGGGCAGAACGATGGGGGTGGAGACGCTCCTTCAAGTATACCCTTCAGGTAGATTGGAAGCATGCCATCCAAGGTTCCTAAGATGAAAACAGGGTTATTTCTCACTCTCCTGCCCTGACCCTCCTCAACCCCCCATTTCTTGTGCCCCACCCCACCCCTGCAGAGCATTTCATATCAGAAGAACCACAACTACACCAATGGGACACAGCGCACAGGCCATCCACTGTCCTGAGAAAACCACTCAATCCTTATTTTATTTTATTCTTTGGTCGGTTTACGAAAAGAACACACACCAATAAATAAATTTTAGAAAGGGGCAAGATTAGACGCGGATGCACGTTTTTTAATATTAAAAAAATGACTCTTCCGCTCTGCTCCCCCTTTCTTCCCTTCCAGAGTGACCCTGCCCTCTAGCTGCCCCTCAGAGCTGGCATCTCATTCATAATAATAATAATAATAATAATAATAATAATAATACTTTATTATTTCTATCCCGCCCATCTGGCTGGGTTTCACCAGCCACTCTGGGTGGCTTCCAACAAAATATTAAAATTACAAATACCCAAATACAGACGGTCATTTACCCTCGCTAGATTCAACGTGCTGCCACCTGCCTTATTGCAGGGCAGATTCGAGGGTAAACCATACGTGGAATGAGTCTGCCCCTGCAGCTTGATGGAGGTAGAAACTGTCTCTCATATCTTGTTATGCTGCTGTTTCTACGGCGGTATTTATCACTCCTGTTATACAAAAATCTCCAAATGGGTCCGAACTTCAACGTCTAAAACTCCTGATAGAGGACAAGGATCTAGAGATCACGCTAAGGGTGGCCAAATTCTGTGTGACTGCCATAAAACGTAGGGAACAAGCTGTACTACCAAAATGATTAAGGTTTTAAATGACAATTTTAGGTTATATTTTTGTGATCAAGATATAATATATATTTCTAACTGCCGCTATATCTGAATTGTCTCTGTTATATCCAATTGCAATTCAGTGTATTCCTGTTGTGTTTTATGATTTTCCTGAGATTGTAAGTGAGCTGGAACTGGTCTTTGACTGTAATAATAAAATTCAATTCAATAAAACGTCAGATGTTAAAAACTTCCCTAAACAAGGCTGCCTTCAGACGTTGTCATCTTCTTCTTCTTCTTCTTCTTCTTCTTCTTCTTCTTCTTCTTCTTCTTCTTCTTCTTCTTCTTCTTCCTCCTCCTCCTCCTCCTCCTCCTCCTCCTCCTCCTCCTCCTCCTCCCAATTCAGAGCTGGGCCTCGACAGCAGCAGCCTCTCGTCTTCCTTGCCCACTCTCCAGCAACTGCTACAAGCTGCCCAAGGGCAGCAGTGACCATGGAAAGGCAATGGGATGCTTCTTCACAGCTGCAACCACCACCACTGTTGTCACTGAGGACAAGCGCTGGCTCATCCTCCAGCCTGAGCTCAGTGCTGCTGGTGCTGAATGGGACAATAGGGAATTTCCAGGATCAAATCAGAAGCCAGGATTGCTTTTGACATTCCTGGACTTTCCCTGGAAAATTGGGACACTGGGAGGGTGTGTGAAAGTCTTTACTGCAACGCTGTGTGTGTGTGTCAGTTTTCCAGGGTCTCCGAAGCTCAGAAGCAAAGATGCAGGCAGTGGATCCTCAGAAGTAATGGATCAGAATATAAGAAGAGCCAGCAGGATCAGGCCAATGTCCCATCAAATCCAGCATCCTGTTCTTACAGATACCAGCCATATGCCTGTTGGAAAACTGCCAGCAGGACCTCAGCAGTTCTGCCCTTCTGCCATGGGAATCCCAAAGGGCCAAGGTCCCCTTGCCTTCCAACAAAATATTTGAGGGACCCACCAAAAAGTTGACAGGCTTTGGCAGGGCCAGATTTAGGTTTGATGAGGCCCTAAGCTACTGAAGGTAATGGGGCCCTTGATATGTCCAGCTGTCCTTTGTCAACAACAAATTGCCGCTGTTTTTTGTGTTGAATATATGCTATATGGTCATTTATGGACCTAATAGGTATCTAAAGCCATTTGCACACAACAAAATATGTATTTTATCAAAGTAATTGTTGAACTGAAATACAATTAAGAAGTTTTATGTTAATGGTGAAATACAGGCAGAGCCCATTACTTACATCATAGGAGCCTACACAACACAAAACACTGTTGCTGTATGTAGGTTTTATTTTACTTGTTCTTTATCTTATATTTTGGAAATGTACATCCAGGTTTTTTTCCTTAAATTTTTTTGGGGGCCCCAAGAGAGTGGGGCCCTAAGCTGTTTAGCTTATACGTAGATCCGGCACTGGGCTTTGGCATTCATGCACCATGTCTTGTGATCAATTATATGGTGTGGGGCTTACCTCCCCCCCCTCCTATTTTATTCAAGTTGGCATCCCTGCTTCCTGAGGCTTCCAGCAACTGGTGTTCAGAAGGATTACAGCAACCCCTGATAGCTCAGAACCTGAGCTATCTCAGGTTTATGGGTTTGAGCCCCATGTTGGGTAAAAGATTCCTGCATTGCAGAGGGTTGGACTTGATGACTCTTGAGGTCCCTTCCATCTCTGGAATTTTATGATTCTATGCCTTTGACTGTGAAGGCAAAGCTAGCAGTCATTGATAGCCTTATCCTCCCTCAACTCATCCTCTTTGAAAGCCATCCAAATTGATGCACATCACTGCGTCCTCTGGAAGTCAACTCTGTAGTTTTACTAGCACTGCATGGCGGGACGTGGGTGGCACTGTGGGCTAAACCACAGGGCCTAGGGCTTGCCGATCAGAAGGTCAGTGGTTCGAATCCCCGCGACGGGGTGAGCTCCCATTGCTCGGTCCCTGTTCCTGCCAATCTAGCAGTTCGAAAGCACATCAAAGCGCAAGTAGATAAATAGGTACCACTCCAGCGGGAAGGTAAACAGCGTTTCCGTGTGCTGCTCTGGTTCATCAGAAGTGGCTTAGTCATGCTGGCCACATGACCCAAAGCTGTATACCGGCTCTCTCAGCCAGTAAACGAGATGAGCGCTACAACTCCAGAGTCAGCCACGACTGGACCTAATGGTCAGGGGTCCCTTTACCTTTTAGGCACTGCATGAAGAAGTAGTTTTCTTCCATCAAGATGGCTGCTGAGAAATCAGGGAGGTGAATCTGATAGGGTTAGAAGCATGAGGCTTAGTGTGGTTTGCTGTGTTGGGCAGAATATTTTGCTGTGTGTATTTATTTTACACATTTATAAACCACTTCCCTGCCTGAAGTCACCAAAAAGGTTCACAACAAGTTAAAGATGCAAAAACTAAACAGTTAAAACCATGCAATTTCCCCTTATATACACTTTTTTTGCAAGCAATAAAATGTATTCACATTTCTTACACAAATCTTCCCCTAAAATATCAATTTTTGTACATGTCTTTTGGCTGGAGAACTCCATCATGCAATCTGGAGAAAAGGTGATTTTCGTTTTTCCCCCCCACCCCAGTATATATTTATTGTCATTTTTCCAGCGTACCAGAACATGATGTCCTGCTTTATACATCAGTGTTACAGAAACAAAAGCCACAGAAACTACAAAACTCAACTCTGGAGACGTCATCACCGTCGCAGCAATAACAATTTGCATGCAGTAATGGCAGATACTATTTTTTTTTTTTAAAGTTTTTCCCATGGCAGAAGAACCATGTCCAACATATTGCAGAACCAGATATTGCAAAGCACTGCAAGGTTTTCTCCCTTTTCCCCCCTTTTGTAAATTCAAATCAAATGCAGTGGCTTTTATGTAATTCAAAGCCAGAACCAAACGCTTTTTTGGTTCTTTTCTTCTCTGCCTCCCTCCTCTTCACTTACTGATCTTTTGGCTCCAAGTAAAAGCATCAAAGAACTTAAGCAAATCCAAGCCTTTTATTTTAGCTTTTATTTCAGATTGTGTTTCTGTGTGTGTGCGCATGTGTGTGTGTGTGTGTGCGTGTGTGCATGCGCATCGTGGGAGAGGCATTGCATGCTTAAAAAGAAAAAAAAAAACTTTGTTCATCTCTGATGCAAAGTATCTGATCCCCGTAAGATCCTGACTTGATAGCTCCTTATTGAAGACTAGAAACTGGAAAATGCTCAGACTAAGAGATTTTAGTTTGAAACAGGGCTGAACCAAAACCTATCCCCAATTTGGGGCCACTTTACTTGTAAGATCACTTTCACCACTGTGATCGACAGACGCAGCATTGTTTCAGGTGCCAGATAATACTCATTCTGCCCCTCTACGAAATCCAACTCTGCAATTCTATGATTCTTGTTGCTGTTGTTGTTGTTTAATCGTTTAGTCGTGACCCCATGGACCAGAGCACGCCAGGCACTCCTGTCTTCCACTGCCTCCCGCAGTTTGGTCAAACTCATGCTGGTAGCTTCAAGAACACTGTCCAACCATCTCGTCCTCTGTCGTCCCCTTCTCCTTGTGCCCTCCATCTTTCCCAACATCAGGGTCTTTTCCAGGGAGTCTTCTCATCTCATGTGGTGGCCAAAGTATTGGAGTCTCAGCTTCAGGATCTGTCCTTACAGTGAGCACTCAGGGCTGATTTCCTTCAGAATGGATAGGTTTGATCTTCTTGCAGTCCATGGGACTCTCAAGAGTCTCCTCCAGCACCATAATTCAAAAGCATCAATTCTTCAGCGATCAGCCTTCTTTATGGTCCAGCTCTCACTTCTATACATCACTACTGGGAAAACCATAGTTGTAACTATACGGACCTTTGTTGGCAAGGTGATGTCTCTGCTTGTATGTCTAAGGAAAGAAAAGGTGTTCCCTAATAGAGAAGAGCAGATCTGTCCATTTCAGTCTCTCTCACTTCTTCCAGTCTTCAGTTCAGTTCTCCACATTTCCACACCAGTCTGCAATTCCAGGAAAAAGTTCTTGTGGAAATTTGTTAGTGTGTAAGTGCAGATTTATCCTGATGCACACCATTTTGTATACAACCTTGTCTAACATGCACGTTTTTGAAAAGCAATTTTCCTTATAGGCAATGCAGTCTAATGGGCATTTTAGTCGTTTGGGATAGGGTAAGACCATTCTAAGGGATGCGGGTGGCGCTGTAGTCTAAACCACTGAGCCTCTTGGGCTTGCCGATCAGAAGGTCGGCAGTTTGAATCCCTGCGACAGAGTGAGCTCCCATTGCTCAGTCCCTGCTCCTGCCAACCTAGCAGTTCGAAAGCATGTCAAAGTGCATGTAGATAAATAGGTACCGCTCCGGCGGGAAGGTAAACGGTGTTTCCATGCATTGTTCTGGTTTCGGTGTTCCATTGCACCAGAAGCAGCTTAGTCATGCTGGCCACATGACCTGGAAAAACAGTCTGAGGACAAACGCAGGCTCCCTCGGCCTGTAAAACGAGATGAGCGCCGCAACCCCAGAGTCGTCTGCGACTGGACTTAACTGTCAGAGGTCCTTTACCTTTACCTTTTTCTTTAAGACCATTCTAATTGGGAATTCTGTGCCAGGGATGTGGCTGGGCTGGAAAGGTCAGCCCAGCCAGTGCTGTTTTTTTTACATAGCATTACCAAGGTGCATGAGCTCATTACTGAAACACTGCCAAACACACACACACAACCTTATTATAACTGTGCACAGAATTGTATCACGGGCCATTTTTATCAATGTGCAGGAGAAATGCAAAAGGAAAAAAGTGAGGCAGAAGAAACAATGGCCTTTCGCCACTGATTTATTAATGCATATGAATGAACTCGTAACATAGAATGGGGAAATGGTGCAAAAGAATTGAAGGAATGCAGAGCTGTAGAAAACTGTGCGTGCATCAACTTTGGAACTAATAGAAGAATTTCCCCCCCAATATTCGGGAGTGGTGGAGTGCAAAGAAGACCGAAAGTAAAGGGACTGTATGCTGTATGTTCTCATCTGTTCTTCTCGTTCAGGAACAAGGGTGGGGGGAATCACAGCTGTTTCTGGCATCCGTAATTATTCGATAAATATATGATGTGCCCTGCTTTGGGAAACTACAGCTGCAGTCAAAAGCATCCTTACCAGGTAGCATGTTCCATTGAACTCAGGGAGAGTTCTGAATGTATGTGCTTTGAATTGTGGTGCATGGCTTCACTTCAAAGCGTATTCAGGAGGAAGTGAGTCCCACTGAACCCTGTAAGACTGGCTTCTGAGTAAACATGTTTACCATCAAGTCGCAAGGGTGTGTTAGTTTCACCACCCTCACATTTCTCCCTTGATTGTATTCCTTGTGCGTTGTTCAGCATTCAGATTTAAACCCACAGGGGTGAAGGTTGGTCGTATCACAGGCTAGAGGTCCTTTTTTTTGCCTGTGATGCTCCTGTTCTGTTATGGACTTTTCGCCTATTTTCCTTTTCAGAAGGTTCACGATCTGTCTCCAACAGAAGTGGAGAAGTTCAGTCCACTCACCAAGGTGGGCTTTTGTTGTTGTTTTAGGTAAAAGATCTCTTTCTTTGCATTTCTGATTTCTTTTGTTGGGTGGGAGGCTAATGCCCCATTTCCTAATACTCAGTTCTGCCACTAGGTGCCGCTCTTTCCTCTTTTTTTAATCATAGGGACATGTGCCTGGCGAATACCCCCACCCTGAAACATTAACCACACCAACTTTGTGTTCTCACACTGAAAGGATACACATCTGAACCACAGATTCTGCTCCCAGACTTTGAAAACCAACCAAAGGTGCACACACAAAAACCAACCCTCATATATCATGTGAACAAGGTCAGCCTTGCTAACCAAGTCTTGTTTCTAACAACTGCTAATGCTACGGAGACTGTCTCTGAAAAGATGAAATAAATAATGGTGAAGGACAAGGAGTGACATTGGCAGAAATGGCTAATAACAAAACTACCATTTCTTCCAGTAAGGATAGGAACGAGGTACAGTTTCCGTGAGTGCTTTGTACTTTTTGATAGACACTTCCTATGATCAGTTCTCAAGCATAAAGACAAAACCACAAGATGAGGTTGACGGCGCAGAAACCAGGAAGCTCTGAGGTTAACAGTGTCAGGCATTTTTGGTGATGTGAGCAAAAATAGTGGCTGCTTGGGACAAAAGGTGTAAGAAATAAAAACTAGCTCAAGGGGGAACCGAAGAAGCTGCCTAGGTGAAGTTGGTCAATTGGGTCATCTAGCTAAGTACCAGGGACTCTCCAGGGTTTCAGGGAGGTGTCTCAAAGATCCCTTTCACAGTCTAAGACAAGGATTTCCCGAATATTAGGCTTGTTTCGCAGTCCTGGGCTTCATCAGTAGTACAAACTCATATATGATATCACAGGACAGTGGATCTTATAGCATAGTAGTAGCTATAAATCCTTGTCTTAGACTCTGTGAAAGGATTCTGTGGAACTGTAACAACCTTTCGTGTGGATTGTTGGACTCTATGAACAGACTGGTGGAATAGACACTTACACATATATGGACCTTATGCATGAACTGATTAAAGAACGAACAGATCCACTGGGTTTTCTGCTTTTTTTGTTGAACTTTATGAGCTGCACGCAACCTTGCCGCTGCTCCCGGACCTGTTCTGGGGGCTGGGGTCGGGGGAAGCTCAGGCTTCCCCTGCCCCAGCCCCATGGCTAAAAAGGAAGCCAAGACAGTGAGCGGGATCCATCCTGCTCGCTGTCTTGGCTTCTTTGCTCTTTGAGACTGGGGGGCGGGGGAATAAGATTTGTTTTCTTGATTTCCCCCCCTAAAAACTAGGTGCGCCTTATGGTCCAGTGCGCCTTATGGAGAGAAAAAGACGGTATTCAAAAGTACAGCCGGTTACGTCTTGTGTGTTTATTGAATATGTTTCACGTAACCAGAGGTTTGTTGTTGTTTTGCAAATGCTGATACAGACAGCGCATGCATGGCACCGATACAGACAGCACCCGAGCAGCGCCGAAATGGACAGCGCATGTGAGGCACCAATACCGATGGCGCATGTGTGGTGCTGATACAGATGGCGCCACTTGAATGCTGCCGATACAGATGGCACTCGAGCTGTGCCCATACGGACGGCGCTCGAGCGGTGCCCATAATGGCGGGACACGCGCCCTTGTCTGCCCTACAACGAGTTTAGCCCTCGGCCAGCCGCCATTTTCTCACACACCCCTCAGGGTGACACCCGGGGCGCACCACCCCCGCCCCCCTTCCTACGCCCCCGCTCTACCATTGAGTCACAGCAGCCCTTCCTCTAAGGAATAGCTTTGATCAATACTGTTTGTGCAGAACGGAGGGAGGAATCCATCTTTTCCTGGCCCCTTCCACTCCCACATATGTTCATTTGTCTGCTAAACTCCTTTCCGCATTATGTGCGCTGAAACAAAATCCAAATGGAAATTCACATTCAGTTTTGCAAATTGCAGTGGTTGACAAACCCTGGCCTTCCGACAACTGAGTCACAGCCGCTCACTGGGGGAGGGAGGGAAGAGGCAGGCGGGCAGGAGGAGGTCAGCGCAGTGCAAACACACCAATGGCATCAATCCACCCTTCCACACATTTCCCATCTCGGGAAACATTTTTCTTTTGCTTGGAGAAAAGCGGATGCAATTCAATTTGCCTAATCCACTTTTAAAGCCATGCGACTTGGCAGCCGTCACTACTTCCTGTGTGAGTGAATTTG